AAAGCCCTGCATCTAAAAGAAATGAGTCTTAGTTTGCATGACATGACTAAATCAGATCAGTTTAGTAAGTTTAATTTTAATTTGAGTGGGGTTTGTTTTTTGAATATTGTTAAGCTAGTTCACTTGATTTGCTTATGCTTCATTGATTGTTCAAATACAGTAGTATTTGGCCAGGAAGTTAAGCAGGGATGTATTTCTCACCTATATACACATTAAATTCTGGGTCCTGTTTTTAAAAATGAAATATTTACGATACCTGCTTAGTTTTAAAATTGGTTAGTTCATATTATACATGACAGGAGCTCTTACCCATGACTATATTTCAAGCGTTAAGTTAAACATAAAAATTGTAGGCCTTCCTTATGCAAATACTTCACAAAGTAACTGAAGTAATCAACTGAAATGTTTTGGTAATTACTTTTATCACTGCTAAGGGAAGTAGTAAACAGCATAATACAATACATAATAGTCATTAGCCAGTATGGATAAAGGAAAAGCAAAGGCAGGCTCACAGGTGCTCTGTAAAAGCATCTATTCAAAGTAATTAATCAACAGAATAGAAAAGACCATTGGTGAAAAAAGTTAGATGATGAAGCAAGGGGTATTTTACATAACTTTGCACCTAAAAGGTATCAAAGAAATGCTAGATATTTTGTGGGGAGAAAATTCTTAGTTGAGTGCACCTACAGAAGACTCATGATGACTCTGGAAACTGTCCTTGATCACTCTGGGAATTGCCCATCTAATCAGGGAGTGGCGAGGGGGAGGAAATGTTTTAATGCTGGCCCCAGGTCTGCATTATGGGTCTTTTATTTGTGTTTTGCGAGAGATCTTTCCAATGCAAGGTAAGAGTGTTTCAGAATTGAAAGTACAAACTGAAAGTAAAGAGCTGAAGAAGCTTCTTGGATGAGAAGAGAAAACAGAAATCCAGTTGCCTCTTGAAGAAAGCACCTTTGGTACAATGTAATAAATGGGGGGGAAAAAATCAGTAAATCAGTTCAGAGGAGGAGACATTTTACTTGGACAATAAGGATTGCTAAGTGTGCATTTGTTTTTATGATGCCAGTGTCTCAGTTTAAAAGTTTAGATCACTTATGATTAGCGCTGATCACCAGCTTGACTTGCTGTTCTGTCATCAAATATGATGTGCCTATGTGCCTGTGCATATAGCAATGTCTGGGAAAGAAAGTATTTGATTTCAACCTTTTATTTTGTGTATGGAAAACACTAAGTATTTTCATATGAGGCTCTACAGAAATCCAGTTCTGTTACCTCTGATCATAATTCAAAATGTGATATATACAGTACTTGGCAATGACTAGAAATCCTATTAAATTTAGAGCAGCTCCATGTGAAGAAGATAAGTATTCGTTTTAATCCAGATATTTGTGTGTATGTATGTATATAGGCAGGAACTAGTTTCTACCGTGCTCTCTTGTTACTGTCATCCTTGAGATCACTGTGATGGCAAAGAATTGGAAAATAACAGAACTGATAGGCATTTGATGTATTTACATTTGGCAATCCATAGGAAAGTTTCCAATTATCCTTCCTTTGTAATATTTATGACATTTAAGATATGAAAAAACTTTTTAAAAAATTCCTTTGGTTCAGGCCTCTTCCCATCTTGAGACACTGCTTTGATAATTTTATTTTTCTCTTTCTTGGAACATATTCTTCTCTTTAGAAAAAAGGGGAATGGTCTTAAACCTTCCTAATAGTGCAACTAGAGATAAGCATGCTTATAATAATAAATATTTAGTAAGAGTTTTGTGCTCATTTCTAAATGTGTACTAGAAGCTACTTCTACACAGTTGTTTTTGTTTGGAATTTGCCTGAGGTATGCAACTCACTATTCGAGGTCAGAGTTCAGGATTCTGGTTGCCCAACTTGGATTTAATGTGACACTTTAGCCCTGCATTGAGACATCCTGTGATCTCAAAATTATTTTTTGCAGCCTCCAGAGACTATGTGGATTATGCTGTCAAATTTCATCAGTGTGCTTGCTGAAAATCATCAGTTTCCTGTTGTTTTGAGGCAGGAAATCAAGAAAATTGTAACATAACCATAAAATATGCTTTATGCCACTTAAATACACACTGAATGTTTTATAAAAAACCAGTTTAATGTATGATATTGTAGCCTGATGCTCCTCCGTGCTTTTGTTGCTTCTGGTTTGTTTTACAGGTATTAATATATTTATATTTTATTTGCCTTATTTGAAATTGGACAAAATCTGTTTTCATCTATGTTGCCATCAGAGATCTAGCACAACAGATGGTATAGTAATATTTGACATAAACATAAAAAACCAAACAAAAGTCTAATTAACCAGTACTCTCTACTGTAATTGTAGTTCTACCAGGTGTACAACATAACTTAGATTATATTGCACTTTCCCCTATCTACTGTGGTGTTTGATCCAGCTGAAAATTGCTAAGTGTAGTCTCTGATTGCCCAAATATTACAATTCTTGATTCATCTATTCCAGAAAATATTGACAGCTCCTGCATTTTCATGGAAACACAATTATATTCCTAACAGAAAAGGCAATTAACTGACTAGGTATTTTATGGTTAGGTACAAAGCAGTGTAGAGCTATTTTCCTGCACTATGAGGCATATTTTTATTTTTTCATAGTAGGATTGCCCACCCTGATTTTCTTCTCTCTTTTTAGTGTTTTTACTCTTTTGTCTGTCTGTCTTATACTGCTCTGTTATGGAATGTGGGATTGTCCCAGTGGGGCAAACTTGTCTCCACCCAGGCAGTCATAGATTCAAGTTTTTCATTTCCTGCCATAGACAGGAAACAAGCCAGCAGTCCCTTCTATCACCACAGTCCCCTTACTGTGGGAATATAAATGATTTCATTCTGATTTTTCTGAAGACAAATGCAAGATGAGTTAGACTTCCCTCAACTGATGCTCTCCAAAGGCATTTGAATGCAGCACTTGCTATCCTTTTAGCCGTGTTTTTCGCACTTGGAAACTTTAATATAGATGAACTTCAACTCCCAGAATTCCTCAGCTAGCAATAAAATATAGGCTGGATTCACACAACATGCCCAACACATTTTCATTGTGTAAAAGCAACTGTTAGATGTTTTTTTTTTTAAGCTTGCCAAGTATGGGTTAGTAGAAATATGACATATGGAAGATATGAGGGCTGGGCAGACTGTTGTAAATTGTACAGCAATTAAAAATAATATATAGTATATAATTCATTCTCTCCTGTTCAAAAGATTATGTCGGGTTGCATTATGGTAAAATATCTAAATCTCTGGTGGTTTATATGATAGACTTCAATCCTGGAGTCCTTGTAGATTCATGTGCTAAACAATCTGGTACATATAAAACAGTGCAATTGTTCAAATCACCTAGACTTGCTTTTTTAAAAAAGTGTTCCTAACTTTAGAGGGATTAAGTGAACCTATGTTTCTGTCATAACGCCTGTATTCACACAACATGCATTATCAGAGATTTGAATACTTAATACAGGTAAGTCCTTGACTTACGACCACAATTGAGCCCAAAATTTCCATTGCTCAGCAAAATTGTTGTTAAGTGAATTTTGCCCCATTTTATGACCTTACTTACCACAGTTGTTCAGTGAATCACCGCCATTTATTAAGTTAGTAACACAATTGTGCCCCATTGACTTGACTTGTCAGAAAGTCACAAAAGGCGATCACATGACCCTGGGAATTGCAAGCATTATAAATACATGTCAGTTGTCAAGCGTCTGAATTTTGATCACTGCCCATGGGGATGCTACAACAATCCTGAGTGTGAAAACCAGTCCTAAGTCATTTTTTCCAGTGCCATTGTAACTTTTTAACAGTCACTAAAAGAATGGTTGTAAATCAAGGAATGCCTGTAGTTGTACCTACATAAAATGCTATAAGTGTTATAAGCGGCTTAATATAATGTGTAATGCCAGTCCTTTTGGCTATTTTTTTACTCAATGTGTTGTGAGGAAGCAGAAAATAGATTAATTAAGTAACCAAGTTTAGTACATTGTTGTTGCTAGTTGTGAAGTGTCTGACCCATTGCAACCCCATGGACAACATTCCTCCAGGCCTTCCTGTCCTCTACCATCTCCCGGAGTCCATTTAAGCTCACGCCGACTGCTTCAGTGACTCCATCCAGCCATTTCATTCTCTGTCGTCCCGTTCTTCTTTTGCTCTCAATCTTTCCCAGCATTAGGCTCTTTTCCAGTGAGTTCTTCCTTCTCATTAGGTGGCCAAAGTATTTGAGTTTCATCTTCAGGACCTGGCCTTCTAAAGAGCAGTCAGGGTTGATCTCTCTACTGGTTTGATCTCCTGACTGGTTTGATTGCCTTGCAGTCCAAGGGACTCGCAGAAACCAGCACCATTATTCAAAGGCCTCAATTCTTTGGCGCTTCCTTATGGTTCAACTTTTACAGGCAGACGTTGCAACTGGGAAAACCATACATATGTCAGAGTATATTCATGAACTGGAATAGAGCATGGTAACAAGATCAGCCAATGAATAGGCATAGCAACTAAGTCAGCCAATGAGAACTGTTTGGAAACTGAAACTAGAAGTAGCCTAGGAAACTGAAACTAGAAGTAGCCTAGGCGTGGCTCTATATTAAGCTCTGAAGCTATGTTGAGCTCTGAGTCTGGCTGTTGAAATGAAACTGCTTCTCTCTTGCTTGCCTGCTGAAGACTGGAGCTCTGCTCTGAACTTGCAACATGTTTCTGTCTGAGTTTGCTCCATGTTGGAGAAATCTACAACTGGTTTGTAAAATTTACTTACTATGTTTATAAAGATGTTAAATGAAGCATCAGCATCCGCGTTTATTTTTCTGACGCTGAATTAACGTTGAAAAGCTCTGAATAACATTGCCTTGACTCTACGTGCTTTTGTGGCAGGGTGATGTCTCTGCTTTTTAGTATGCTGTCTAGATTTGCCATAGCTTTCCTCCCCAGGAGCAAGCGTCTTTTAATTTCTTGGTACGATATGAGAATACAATTATTGAGAGATCAAGGATTAGAGTAAAACTTTAAAAACTTAATTCAGAAATAAATTCTTCAAGAACGTTCTCATGACTCTCTACCTTCTTAACTCTGTTCTTTCTGCAGGCTGAAAAGAAAGCTAAGGTAATTGCTGGAATGAATGCTGTGGAAGAAACACCACGGAGCGAGCCGCAGAAGGAGGAGGAGGAGGCTAGCCCACCAGCCTCACAGCAGCCAACTGACCCTGCTTCTCCCAGTGTGGCTACTACCCCAGAACCTGTGGGGCCTGATGCTGTAGACAAGAGCATATCAAAGTCAGCTGATGATGAGCCAGAATATGAGGTGAATCAGAGACAGAGTTCTGCTCCTAGTATTTGTTTTCCCCATCATTCTAAGCTCCCGGGAATCCTTGTTCTTGAGGCATCTCTAGTTAGCCTTTCCTGTCTCCAAAAGGCATTTGTGGTTGTATTACGGCTAGTTGGATAAAAGGAAAACAAGCCTAGCAGGTGCCACCCATCAAAAGTGCCATGCTAGTGGAAGAAACCACCCCTGTTGATTCCTTTCTATGTACTGAAGCAGCAGCCAAGTATTAGATGCAGTGAATATGCACTGCAGATAGATGGAAGAGCCTGAAGGGGACACATATGATGATGAAGGACAAGGAGATGGAAGAGAAGAATGGGCTTAGGAAGAAGTTTGTTTAACATAGGGGTTGTGAGGAAGAGGTTACAGGAGGAGAAGAAAAGGGGGAAACGTGGAACAAATAAAAAGAAACCAATGGATGTAGGGAATAGATGAAGTTGAGTAGGTAAAGAAACAGGATGGCAGTTGTAGACTAGAGTGTAGACAAGAGCATATCAAAGTCAAAGAGCTAATGAGAAGTCCAAATCTTTTCACTTAGCTATTGATGCTGTCAGAAAATAACTTTTGGCATTGTTAAAAAAAGGTCAGCAGATGAATCCCTCTCTGATTCAGAAGAGTGAAAAATAAATAAATAAAATAAATTCCTGCCCATCTGCTTTTTCCTCCTATATAGTTTTTCAAGGCGCATCTCCTTGCCTTTCCCATTTCCTACATTCTCTTTCTTTCCAGTCACATTCAGGTTTCTTTCAAAGCATTGCTGACTCACCTTGTTTGTATGTGGCTCTCTGTTCTTCAGCATGTTCTCTGTGAATGATGCATATGGGATTGACAACTGTGCTGCAACCTTCATAAAAAGCATCCAAAATGAGGAGTTTTAGCAGAATCCCTGGCCCTCATTGAGTATTTATGTGTGATTCTCTTCAGTTTTTCCAATCACTATAACAATTCGCTTTTTTTTTTCCTTTTCAACTGCAGGATGGCCGGGGATTTGGGATTGGGGAGCTGGTGTGGGGAAAACTGCGTGGATTCTCCTGGTGGCCAGGCCGCATTGTTTCCTGGTGGATGACTGGCAGGAGCCGGGCTGCTGAAGGTACCCGCTGGGTCATGTGGTTCGGTGATGGGAAGTTCTCTGTGGTAAGTGACTGAGCTCAGGCTGGGTTTTCTGAAAAGGTCCCAAACTGGAAAAAAGACTTCCTCCAACCTGCTTCTTTGTATGAACAGTCCTTCTTGTGCTCTTATTTTATTATTTTATCTGTTTTATTTCTAATATTTATATGCCAACTTTCAAGTACTGAAAGCAATCCTTGTATAATTATTAAACATTTTAAAAGCCAGCTGAAAATAGCACAGCTATTTTGTGCTAAAATAGCATTTTTGTGCTAAAAAATAGCAGATAGAACTGCCCACTGAAGAAGTTTTTATTTGGGGCAAGGACTTAGTTGGATATGTTTCCGTTCACATGTCTTTATGCCTATTTAGAAGCAGGTCTCAGACCCTGGACAATCTCCTATAACCGTGATGCTGCAGATTAAAAACATAGTGCTTCAGAGGTTAAAACCAGTGCGTTGAATTCAGAAGCCTGATCAATCGTTTATTAGAACATTAGAAAGTACAACCTGTGAACAACTTAAGGAGTCTCTTAGGGCTCTCCTTGGAGTGTAAAGGACTGCATACAATTCTGAGGCTTCAGGTTGTGTATCTGTGTCATAACCTTTAGTTTACAAGTTGTGCTTCCTGGATTAATGCAATATGCTAAGCCAGAATGAAAGTAACTACATTATGGTTTCGTACAATGTAAATTCACCCATTGTTTATTCAGCACTTTGTTCCATAAATGCAAGTATAGTCCAGTTTCCGAGTCCCAAATTAATCAGTGGTATTTTAAGGTTTTTGTTGTTTCTAAAATTGTTGATATGCTTGGTGCAACAATCACAAAACATAATTAATATACCGTAATACTGTTTCAATATATACTAAGGATTTGCAAGTTTTGCAATGCCACAGTCCCCTAAAATGTAAAACATAATTTAATTGTGGTTACAACTGGCAAGAAATATACACTACCTCTTTTTAAAAATTACATTTAATCTATGTATTAGTTAAAATGATTTATTAACTTTATAAAAAAAACTTTTTCACTGGAAATAAAAAATGAAATTTGGACTGTATTTTAATGGGAAATAATGATGAACTTGTTTGCTTTTTACAATTCATTTAAATTTTATTTTGAAAACAACCATTGTCATTTTTCATTCCTATTTATTTTGTATTGATATTTCTATTTTCAGCAGCAATTATAAGAAACTCTGACTCACAAATAGGAAGTTATTGGCTTTTATCAATACCAATAGATGGTTTATCTTTAGCTTTTTTGTTTCCATAAAAACTTTTTTCTATTTTGAAATCCTAGAGATTTAAAATAAAAGGTAAACATTTTGAATTATTATATATATTGAATTATTGTGTATACTTTTGCAGATTATTGATGTGTCATTGCATGTCACACTGGAAAATATAAATATTTCTGTGAGGCGGAAAAAATAACCGTTTTGACAAAATGGTTATGGATGTGTTAAAGAGAAATGTGTTTTGTTTCAAACAAAAGGCAAAAATGTCATGTTCACTTCTTTTGCTAAATTACTGGATCAGCCATTGTTTGGCAGAAATAAAACCTAGAACTTACTTTGTTGATCTGGGTTTTGACCAAAACAAAACCTTCAGAGACCATGAAGTAACTTGGCCATGTAGGCCACTGCACTTACTCCCATCCTCCTCTTAGCAACTGCAAGAGTGGGTTATCCCATCAGTCAAGCTGTCTGTCCTGTCAAGCTTGCCTTCCCGTTCTTCCCTTCTCTGCTTCTTTGTTGCCCTGTTATGGGATATCCCATCAACCCAATTCACTTCCCAATCTTCTCAAACTGGTGAATTAAGAATTAATATTAGGCTAATGAAAACCATTATGTAAATTATGTAAATGTTGGCCAGGAAGAAAGGGTCAAATTTCCACTGAGTTGAAAAAGTGTGGGAAATAATCTATATTGGAAAAGATAAAGTATAACTGTTCTAATCTGGGAATCCAGCAACTACAAATCAATTGAATTAAAAAAAATTCCAACAGAAAATATAAAATAAATATAAAAGTTATGGCCAATCACAAGATAGGACAAACTTAAAACTAATTTTAAGAGCTCGACAACACAGATTCCCTGAAGACAAAAATTCAATACTCCTATGTTATGTGAAGAAAATGTAGTTACAATATGTAAACAAAGATTAAACTTAGTCCAGTTCTAATCAAAGATTTAAAGAGAAATAGGGCATTGAATCAGATTTTTCTTCTTCTGATGTAATGTATTTAAATTTCTTGACTTTTGTAGAAGTTTTAAGTTTAAATCTGTGCCGAAGGAGATTGGTCCCAGCTTTCTCTTTATCTCTGCCTCCACTGTCTTTTTTCTTTCCCAAGAGAAATGCTTGTAGTTTCCCAAAAGCTGCTTCTTCCTGAAGAGGGAGAGGTTGGGGTAAATCCGCCTTTTCCTTACTCATGCGAGAGAAATATTTATTTGGTGTATCCGACCGTGTCTGGTGTGATAGACAGGGAAAAAGACTGCAATATTGAGAATGCTCTGTGTGCTTGATGGGTTCAGGATGGATGAAATAATTGCATTAAGTATATGCAGTACACATTTCGTGATAGCCATCCTGCTCCTTAAATCCACAACCCCAAAACACTTTTTTTTTTTGGGGGGGGGGGTGGCTCTTAAAAAGGACGTTTTGTGCAGTCTTCCATTCTGTTCCCCTCTTCACAGCCTTCTGTGAGGCTGTGGAGGAAGCCAGCCTTAGAGACCCATGCTATTCATAGGGAAGAAATAATTTATATCCGTGATCTCTTTGTTCTGGCAGGTCTGTGTGGAGAAACTGCTTCCACTCAGCTCCTTTGCTAGCGCCTTTCATCAGGCCACATACAACAAGCAGCCCATGTACCGAAAGGCCATTTATGAAGTACTGCAGGTAAGTGTTATCTTTGTCGTTCCTCTGGGACTTGTTTCCCTGGCAGTCTTTCACCTGTAGTGACTAACTTTTGTGGTGGAATAAGGATATCTCAGCCTACAGGACATGAGATGGACTGCTCATAGATGGACAGAAATAATCTTCAGACTCATCCCTGTACCATCTCAGATTGGCTATCCCAGAGAATGGAAAAAAAAAATAGCTCACTGTATCGTTATGCCATTAAATAATTTGAGATAGTTCATGGAAGCAAGCAAAGCTGTTCATTAAAAGAGAAGGGAATAAAAATGAGAAGAAGAGAAAGGAGGGAAAACTCAACCACACTTTTGGGGATACATGAACAATCTGGCTTTTGAGAAAATAGCTTCCTATGTGGATAAAATTCTGTTTTCCCTCCTGTATTGTCTTGGACAGCTTCACTGATTCAAAAGAATGAAAGAAAGCCCAATACAGCATGTGGAGATTGGGGAACATCATTTTTGTTGATGTAATATAGTGGTTCAAGCCTTGGACTAGAAACAGGAATCCAAGTTCCATTTTGATCAGGGAATTCAGGGATGATGCTCAGCTTAACCTATCTAAACCAATCTATCTGTTTGGGATTAAATTAAAGAAGATTCTATGGAGTTGACCTAGCCTGAGAGAAAAAGTGGGATATAAATACAATAAAATAAATTATGGAGCTCAGAAAAGACATCTGTACAAACTGTACAAACCATTCAATCCAGAATCAATTGACCCTTCTGTCCACCTGTCTCCCCGCCAGGTGGCCAGCAGCAGATCAGGCAAGATCTTTCCATCCTGTCCAGAGAATGATGAAACAGACACATCCAAAGTGGTTGAAATCCAGAACAAACAGATGATTGAATGGGCTTTAGGAGGGTTCCAGCCATCTGGCCCAAAGGGATTGGAGCCTCCTGAAGGTAATGAAATGGAGCTAAACCATCACAGCCCCCACAGCCCCTCTTCCATAGGATAACAGGCGGTTTTGGCCCATTTGTCTCTGAGGTGTGGTAGACTCATGTTCATTCTAATAGCAGGATTTCACAGGACAAAAAAACAATCGTATAAACAACTCTTTGGAGGTTAGCACACTGTCATATATCACAAAGTCTGGTGACAGATAGGCTTCCAGATCAAAAGAATCAAAGCTTGATTTCCCACACTGCTTATCTTGCTGCCATACTGATGACCTTCTTTCTGCCATCTCAGAGGAACGCAATCCCTACAAAGAAGTTTACACGGAGATGTGGGGGGAACCAGAAGCTGCTGCCTATGCTCCTCCTCCACCAGCCAAAAAACCAAGGAAAAGCACAGCTGAGAAGCCTAAGGTCAAGGAAATCATAGATGAGCGCACCCGAGGTACGTCTGGGACAGAATGGAATGGGTAGCTTGGAGGTGGTTGGCTTATCCCAGCTAATCTCCACTTTATCTCTTTTTTTTTTCAATCCCAAGCTATATTTGAGGATAGACGAGTAGTCAAAACCACTATGTACTTCTAGCTCTCAATATCCTTTCTTACTGCTGTTTGTGGGACCATTGGGGCACGCTGTAGGTGTCCCTACCCCCACCCCTGCAGAAAAAATGAAATTGGAAGGATTAAAAAATCCCAGTTTTTGCCTTTGACAAGTCCACACTTCACATAAAGCAAGATGTAGGGCTTCCTAATGTTCATCTGTTTTTGGGGGGTGGGGGAGTGCATGCCATTCTTACAGTATCTGGATAATTGGCTTTTTTCTCCCATGCCTCAGTCTTTCAATTTCATCTTCTCCTTTCCCCATATTGCAGCACACATATTTGCTTCTCTTTTCCTATCTTTCACTGAAGTGTCTTAAAAACCCATTCTGAAGCTCAAAGGACTCGCCCTCCATTCTCTGACTTGAGAATTTTGATACTGGAAGGAGAAGTGGGAAATGCTGCCACAATCCCATGATGGTTAGATAGTATTGCAGTGATTTTCTGGACGTCTTTCCAGATTATAACAAAGAAGCTGTAACAGGCCTTTGTAAAAAAACATAAAACCCAGAAAAAAATGCAGCTCTTGGATAGGATTATATACAACAGCAAATAAATCATGAATTTCATCCTGATCTAAACCAGGGACAAGCAACTTTCTAGGGGCCAAATTCCATATTAGCTTCGTACAGCCTGCCAAAATTATACTTAAAAATGGGTGGAGCCAGGAAAAATGTGAATAGGTAAAAGGGGAGAATGATGGGTCCTCCCATTCTCCAAAAATACATTCAGTCTAACTCTGTAATACAAAGGCAATATTTTTCCTTGTTTTCACCAGTTCCATAGCTGAACTCACTGAAGGAATATAAATTAACAGAAGAAAATATTGGCTGTGTTCACCCAACACACTTAACCTAATTATAGATTTACTGTCAAGGGTGTACAGTACATAGAACCATAAATTAATTATGTAGGCAAAATTCATTTACAAGGCACAAAAAACATAACCAGAGTTAACATTAACCAAGTAAAATGTTGTACGACTATATCAGTTGTACCTAGTTAAGCCATTGTCTTATTGATGTGAACTAAGCTGTCTTCCCTTTTTTCATCTTTAATATTAGAACTTATTCTAATTGGAATTCATTTAGGTCCAAAATCATCACATTGCATCACCAAAGTTTTTTGCAGCAAATGCTAAGTTAAGGCTTTGATTCATGGACACAGATTAGGCCTTTCTGGTTGTTCTCAATTTCAGCTATATTTATGGATGCTGTGGAATTTCTTGATTGCCTATTTTAACAAATTCTTTTTCTGTTTTAGAGCGTCTTGTTTATGAGGTTCGACAGAAATGCAGGAATATTGAAGGTGAGGTTAAGCAAATATATTCTTTGTCCTTCCCCATATTAAATTATGTACAGGACATGGCAACCAATTGGATTCCTCCCTACTCTGCTGCAAGTATTTGTCTCCAAAATTCAAGATGATCACCACAGCTGCAGTTCAGTAGTTAGCAAATGGATCCTTCTGCCATTAGAGTTTGTAGGCTCTGGGTAGGCTTGAAACATATCACAAATAAAATCATTAATAACACCCAAAAGCAGCCCAGCACTTTCACAGTTGAGCATAGGGAAGGGCTTTTATGGATCTCCTCTCTCTAATGGAAAAGACCAGGATGATCCATGCTCAGGGAGCCTATTGCTGTGTGTGGTTTTGAAAGAGGAGAATGCTGCCATTGAGTCAGAAGGCATAGAGAGTGGTATCTTTCTCAGTAGCCCAAGGTGTAATGAATTTCTTTTCTTTCCTCACTCAACAACTACACCACTTCTCAGATATCTGCATTTCCTGTGGAAGCCTAAATGTCACCCTGGAACACCCTCTCTTCATTGGCGGAATGTGCCAAAACTGCAAGGTAAGAATGTACAGGACACAGGAGCAGCCTGGAAGAGGAGAAAGAACAGAGACGGAAGGGTGACTTCGGGGGTGGTGGGGTAGTCAACTTGTTATAGAGACTGTAGAACTACAAAAAGACAAAGGCAATTAGGGCAAAAGGAAAGAAAACCCCTTACTGGAAAAAAATTAAATTTCTTCCAATTCCTGTCATGGTTCAAATACCTTCCTCCTTGGATGAAATTGTAATCCTGTCAGACAAAAACTGATCATAGCAGTTGGCAGCTCTGTGATCAGCTCTTGTCTGATGGTTACATATTTTTTTCTGAGCAAGTACCAAATTTACTTCCACTATGGATATCTGGAGTGTATCTAGCAACATCTACTGTATTGCTTTCTGTTCTACATCTGTAAGATAAAATTTAAAAAAAAAACACTCGTGGTTAGTGTGCTACAAAATACTTTTATGATGGGAGAAACTAATATCTCGGGCCTAGAAATATCTCTCACGCCTTTGTTTCCTTAGAACTGCTTTTTGGAATGCGCCTATCAATATGATGATGATGGCTATCAATCATATTGCACCATCTGCTGCGGTGGCCGTGAAGTCCTTATGTGTGGGAACAACAATTGTTGCAGGTGAGTCACATAGTGCTTTATAAAGATTGCATCTGTGTTACCCCCACCCGCCACCCCAGTGGTCCTTTTTAGTGTAGTGTCACCTTTAGTCAAATCCTCTCCTTTGCGTTTTTGCATTCAAGGAAAATTAATATAACTTTTGCATCTTTTCTGTGGAAAATTGCCCAGAGGAAGAGTCTGTGTCTATCTTTTCAGTTTCTATTAATTGGAAAACCATAACTTAGGAAAGGAAAAGAAAACTAGGATCAATGCAGTTTAAAGGCAGGCTTAAAAATTGGGAAAATGTATTTGGAATGAGGTGGCTTGTATGCTCAACTTGACTTTTCAGTATTTTCAGCCAATCAAAGCCTGGGTGATACTGGCACTAAGAGAATATGCCGGAATTCCAAAGCTACTGTTTGTCTGTTACATCCTGAGCTGAGCACATTCCACACTTAGCATTAATTATTTTGGTTTGCAGATGCTTTTGTGTAGAGTGTGTGGACTTATTGGTGGGTCCTGGGGCTGCTCAGGCAGCTATCAAGGAAGATCCCTGGAACTGCTACATGTGTGGCCACAAGGGTGTCTATGGCCTGCTCCGGAGACGAGAAGACTGGCCCTCACGCCTTCAGATGTTTTTTGCCAACAATCATGATCAAGAGTTTGTGAGTTCAGCATGGAATGGAGGTGGGGATGGGGACAAAGCCTTTGATATCAGGAAAATTCAGAAGGCAAGAGAAATCTGCAAATACTCTCAGGTTTCTCTTGTTGCTTGCAGCCCCCTAGTATACTAGCTACCTGAACCAGTCAGCCAGTGGCTCTTAAGTCTAGGACTGCTGTTGAGCACCAACTCTTGGGAAAATCAGGAGCCTTCTGTTATCTCCCTGTGGTGACTGTTGCCACAGCTTACGCTGCAACCATTTCATGCTGCTCCTTTGCTTTTTGCAGGATCCACCAAAGGTTTACCCTCCAGTCCCTGCTGAAAAGAGAAAGCCCATCCGGGTGCTGTCACTTTTTGATGGCATTGCCACAGGTGAGTTCTGATCCTCCTAATATCAGAAAAAATGTGGTAGCATGAATGCCACATGGGAATAACAGTAACACTGTGGTTTTTATTTTCCAGGACTCCTTGTGCTAAAGGATTTGGGCATCCAGGTGGATCGATACATAGCATCTGAGGTGTGTGAAGATTCTATCACAGTTGGGATGGTCCGACACCAGGGCAAGATCATGTATGTTGGGGACGTCCGCAATGTCACTCAGAAACATGTACGTGGAGCTTTGATGGGGAGGCTTCCTTTTGGCTTGTGTAACTGAGGCTGGCACAGCCCCAGATGCATCTTCCTCCTGCACCTGACTATTGAATCTTCATATGTTACAGATACAGGAATGGGGTCCCTTTGACTTAGTGATTGGAGGGAGCCCCTGCAATGACCTCTCCATTGTTAATCCTGCCAGGAAAGGCCTTTATGGTAAGTGCTACCATCCATCTCTTCTATGGTTTACCCAGGATATGTTGTTTTAAAGCAGTTGATCCAGGGATAAGGAACTGTGGTCCTCCAGAGACTACTTAACTACAGCTTGCAGCATCCTTTGTTGATAGTCGTGGATTGCAAATAATGGGAAGTATAGCTCGACAGCATCTGGAAATTAAAATATATTTCTCTTCTGTGTTACTATCTCAGATACCCTGAGGATTTGAAAGAAAATCCATATGCATGTTGCTCCTTAGCACATCACGTACTTATGATAAAAAAATCTGATAGGATTAAAACAAGGCTGGTTTTAGTGATTAATGTATGAGATTACATAAACAGAACTTTAATATTTCAAAAGATGCCAGTTAACCATGGAGGTAAAATTCTTGAGCTTCAGAATGCATCTTTGTAATATAAAGAGAAATTGGTGTAATTGAGTAACACACAGCCTTTACAACAGAGAAATCAAGTTAAAACTATGATCCGGGCATTGCTTTTACTTTATATTGTCATATCTGAAGCAGATAGATCCTCTTCGGTGCTTTCAAAAGTCCCTAGGCTCTATAAGTCAGATTTTAATGGTTACGGAAAGGAAACTGTTGGCCTGCGTCTCAATTCCTCTTGCGAGCATCATCCACCTCTCCCTGCCTTTGCTTTCCTAACCCAGAGGGCACAGGTCGACTCTTCTTCGAATTCTATCGTCTCCTTCATGAGGCCAGACCCAAGGAGGGAGATGAGCGACCTTTCTTCTGGCTGTTTGAAAATGTGGTGGCCATGGGCGTCAGTGACAAAAGGGACATCTCTCGCTTCCTAGAGGTGAGGTGAGGTGAAGTGAGGGGCTCTCCCCGTTAGCCAGCCTTAGGATGCTCCTGGGTAGAAGAGCAAGCCTTACGTGCCATGTAGGGTAGGCGAATGGGACCATGGCCATAAAGATGGAATGGGTCTTGGGCAAAGCAGCATCACATTTTAGTCACCCCCTCGCCTCCTGGCAAGATCTGCATTATTATCACCTTATCTCCCAGGTTTAGGCAGTCCTTCCTGCCACTGGAGAAAATTATGGACTTTGCAGGTAGACTCTTTTAACTCAGGGGTGTCAAACTCAATTTCATTGAGGGCTGCATCAGTGATCTCAGGGGAGGTGTGTGTGGCCAGCTCAACATCAGTCGTGTCGGGGGTGCTAGTGCCAGCGAAAACTGGTTGTGACAGCTTCCTGCAACCCTCTGCCAGCGCAGTCTTCCTGAGCTCGTTTTCACTGGCAAAGGCACCACGGACCGGTCCTTCACTATTTCCAGAGTGGCCCCACAGGCCAGATCTCAGCACCCCATGGACCAGATCTGGCCTGCCGGCTTTGAGTTTGACACCCCTGCTCTAACTCAACTAGATAAAGAGGGAAGGCAAATTTTTAGAAAAGTTACATTTTTAAATTAATTAAAAAGTCAAAACCGCATTATCTTGTGTAAAGACTGAATCAAAATACACAATTCATTTTAAGTTTTATGGGCCTTCCCAGTTGACAAAGCTCCACACTATTCATAGCCCACATTGTTCAGGACTGCATGACTGCATGATCTCACTGGAGACACCCAGAGAAAGTACTTCCAGTAATTGTTTCTGGAATGAAACTGCTTGCTGCTTTGCCACCTATCCCATACTTTGATCATATGCATGCATGGCACAGCAACATGGGGAGTCCCTTCAAGCTGTCCTCAAAAGAATATTACACCTTACCATTTTACACAGTAAGCTTGGTCAATCACCCTCCAAATCATTGAGCCCTAACCTTGTGGTCCCTGGATTTGGGATGGACTGATATCGAAGCTATTAACTCAGATACAGTAACCTCAACTAACAATTTATACAAGCTTAATACTTGATGGCTAGATGTACATATTCTTGTTGTTTTCTTAGAACGGTATAGAGAACAGCATAGAAGCCATTAGCATCTTCTTGTCTACTCCAGTATATATACATACATGGGATGATACATAGTTGTAACCCTGATTATAAGGCACCAGAATGGCCAGGACTGTGACTGAAGTAACAGAACGGGGGAGCAGGGAGAATCTTGGAAAAGTTCAGATGGCCTGAAGAAGCCTGAGAATCACCTGTTGCAAACTTCAAGAAGTACCTCATTCTGATAGTGTGACTTCCCTTGCCTCTCTCCTTTTTACAGTCTAATCCAGTGATGATCGATGCCAAAGAAGTCTCTGCAGCCCACAGAGCCCGGTACTTCTGGGGAAATCTGCCTGGCATGAACAGGTCAGTTAATAAGCATAAGCTACCTACACAAGCGTCAACTACCAGCAGATGAGTCACTGTTTTGTTAAAGTATTAACCTGTTCAATTATTGATGCTTTAATATGTGAAGAATTGCTTGGCTGGATTCTCTCATTACCCTTCTCATATCTATTGAATAGCTTTAACATGTGTGGACTTCAGTTCCCAGAATTCCCCAGCCAGCTGCCAAGGTTGGTCACCTTGTGGTGAGATGAGTGGCAAATAAATTTAAAAAATAAAAATAAATAAGGTTGAGAAACACTAATCTAATGTCTATATTTGCACAAGTTTTGATTCTTCTATGGTTTTAGTATTTTTAATAAAAGATATTATTTGTAGCTCAGGATTGAACTGTGGAGTTCTTGGTGTTTTCCGAGTTTGGTTGTTTGCTTGCAGACTTTCATTATGCAGCTAGGTAAGATTGCTAGTTTTGTTGTGATTTCTCAAGCCTCAAATCAACTTCAATATATTTTGCTGATAATTCTGTAGGTTTGAGCAAATATTTCATCGGCACAACTTATTTATTTTTATTTATTTATTTATTTAGCAAATTTATATGTTATATGGGTGTTGTTGGGTATGCTGTCATACTTTGACCAATTCAGAGCAGTTTTGATAATAGCACAAGTAAAAAACACTAAGTCTAAATGACAATTTATGAAGATAGGCCCAGATCAATCATCTATGTTGAAAGCTTATCATCAAGGGATTGCTTCTGCTGCCTTGTGAAAGACAAGCTAGAAGGGGACATCCTGTGTCTTGGGAGTGTTAAGGAAATTTGCAGTGGGGAAAAGGAACAATTCATTACAAATTTGGGGACTGGGGGAAGTCCCAGGCATTTACAAATTGATTCATTACCCCATGATAAATTTTCATAGAGACAGCAATGTGGTCAGTCCTAACCCTAACCCTAGTCCAGAAACAATGACAGAGGAAGCTTTTTGAAGAGACTTTAATGGTCAAGAGACTGAGCTATTAACAGCAATCAGCGACATGGCTAAATACAATGGTTCGCTGTACTTAATGAGATATAGGCACTAAACAAACAGCTTGAATGTAATTGAATGTAAACAAGAAGAGTTGCAAACAAGTATACTTGTTAGGTAAAAGCCAATAATGAGCTCCATTTGAAATACTTAAAATCTCTTCAGTGCGCTGGGAAAAGTAACGGAATAACAATGGTAAAGCAAGGATTGAAGAACAAAAAGGAAGAAAGTATGAAGTTAGACTTGTCCTTTTTTGAAAGGAGAAGAGCTATAGTAACAACAGTAGCAAGAGGATTTACAAAGTAAAAGGCAAAGAGACATGGCCCTTGGCATGGGGCAGAGGGGCACCATTGAGAAAATATGCCTCAGGGTCTTTATTTGATGAGGTTATGAGTCATTAGAAGACCCAGAAGTGGTGCTAAAGGCAGGCTAAAAATATCTTCATAAATGTTGTCCCATGGTTTTTAAATTAAGGGAAATTTCTAAGAAGTAATTTTGGCATATCCTGGGGGAATGGGGGTCGTGGAGCGATTTGTAATAGCTTATTTGTGAGACGAGAATCTAGTTTGCCACTGTGCCACTGTGATGCTTCTTGTGTGAAACAATGGAGTCTGTTTTTGTGTTTGTGTGTGACATTATTCAAGACTGGGGAAAATGTAATTGGATCAGACAATTTTAAGAACTTTCTTGGCCTCAACAAAACTTTTTGTCCATTTTATTTAGCTTGAGAAAAATGATTCAATAAAGTAATCCTGATTCATAAAATAGTAATGATCCAAAACAATCCTTTCTGTTTTTATTGTACAAATGCTTTAAAAGAGAACTTTCAGAGACAGTACCGAAAAGAGCTGAGATTCCTAGGAGCTAATTATGTGAACCTGGTTTTCCTACAGGCCGCTGGCTTCAACTATGAATGATAAGTTGGAATTACAAGAGTGTCTGGAACATGGCCGGATAGCTAAGGTGAGCATGAGAAACCAAAATGAGTTTCAGTGTAGATGTCTTCATGGAAGAGTTTGGAAAGAGAACATCAAACATCAAACAGAGCATCTTCTCAAAGCTCAAGAGGCAAAGAGAGAAAACAGAACCCACCATTGATTGGCAATAGCTTAGAGAGGCCTGATTTTACAGTCATTTTCGTACTATGCAGAAATTAAGGCTAGGAAGAGATAATAATTATGTTGATGGAAGGCATTGGAAATAGCGCAGACACTGCCCGCAAGCCAAAGAGTTAGCTCAGAGGTAGTTTTATTATGCATGATTACCTGCTAATAAATCACTTTTTGTTTTGTCTATCTTGTCTTCCCAATGTAGTTCAGCAAAGTACGAACCATCACCACACGTTCCAACTCCATCAAGCAAGGCAAGGACCAGCATTTCCCTGTCTTTATGAATGAGAAGGAGGACATCCTGTGGTGCACCGAGATGGAGAGGTGGGAATGGTGGGGGCTGGGCTTGCCTTCTTTCAAGAAGAGCTTGCAGCACATAACCTTTCTACGGAACCTGTCCCCCCGTATGGCTTAGTTGTGGCCTGGTTATATGTATTAACACCGTGCTCACCCTTAGAAAGGCCTCTCTTGCCATGCAATCTATTTCCCCCCTTTTTCCATTGGCACAATACAATTTGTTTTTATGTGTTACAGATTTCTCAGACTTTCTAGCTACTGGGCCTTACACCTAAGGGAGCTATTTCATATTAGAAGCTTCAAGAGTCCTCCCTTAAGGGAGAGTTCCTATATTTTAACAGTGCTATTTTTGCTATTACCCAATAGAAAGCGCGATGGGACTGGTTTTGTCTTTACTGGGATTTATCAGCCCCATCTTTGCACCAAGGACTGTGAATTCAAAACTCAGTAAAGGGTTTGGCATATGGACACTAGCTGGAGCTGGTGAATCTCAGTACAAGCAAAATTAATCACATAGTACCTCCTGATGGTCAGTAGCAATTATAGCAACCATTTATTTTACCCCAGTAGTCCTAACAGCACACATTACAATTGCAAATGAAATCTTGTTCAAGTGCAGCAGCCTTTTGTTAGCTCTTTTATGTCAGGGTCTTAGTATTAAATTGGCATCCTGTGCTTACAGAGTCTTTGGCTTTCCGGTCCACTACACGGATGTGTCCAACATGAGCCGCCTGGCAAGGCAGAGACTGCTGGGTCGTTCCTGGAGCGTGCCGGTGATCCGCCATCTCTTCGCCCCCTTAAAGGAGTACTTTGCCTGTGTTTAAAGAGACATAACCACAAAACTGGCAAAGCGGAGGAGGAGTCTCAAACACAACCACCCCCAGGAACAGAAGAGAAGTGGCACCAGAATGGAGGAAATGGCTGGTGGGTGAGAGGGTGGGAGAGGGCAGCCCGCATACATATGCAGCTCCCATCACCCAAATCTTCACCCATCCTCTCCCCAATTTGAAATGCCCCAATCAAACCAACCAATCCCACTTTCTGTTGGTAATCCTTTAATTTCCTGCTCTTTCTGGATGGGTTTGCCTGTTAGTTTGGTTTCTGCCGCTCCTCGGCTGAGCCCCCAGCAATGCGGGCTGTCCACTGATGCCCCGCAAAAGAGAAATTTCCAGCCAAGCCCAAAGCTGAATGGGCCTTGGGGCTTTATTGCCCAAGCTCAGTTTAGGAGCACAAAATGAGGTGCAGCGGGACCTCCTTGCGTCTTATCAGCGCCATTCCTGGGCCGAGCGCAAGCTGGGAAGCTCCCAGTCCTACCTGGTCCCCCCAAGCCACACACTAGAGTATTTGGGTGCCTATCACACAGGAGACCTTGATACACCCTGCTCCTACAGCCGCTCTTACCTCTTGTTTACAGTTTATATATATGTGAGAGTTATGTGAGAGAAATATCTATATATAAAAGGTACTGTTACTACTGTACAACTGACTTTCAAAATGGTGCTTCTACAACCACAGAGGGTGGGGCTGAGGGCAGCTTCCGTGGTGCTTCACATGCTAGCCCGCAGGAATGGTGGGGGGAGCTTTTCCAACTGATTGCAGCCCCATCTTAATAAGGGAGAGAAGGCTGACGGGCACCATTCTCCGCCCCGGGTGGCATGCAATAATACTTTTCTTCCTGAAAAGGCAAACCTCCCTCAGGCCAGGGGCTTGGGCCTTGCTAGATGGGGCTAACCTACCCCCCTACCCTCCCCCCCCCCGCAGAGCTCCAGGCCGGGGCCCTAATGTTAGTGGTGCTTTATTGAAATTGGCGTTTTCTGGGGCCCCACCCATCACCAACCTGGCTGCCAGACCAGGAGGCAGAGAGCACCCAAGGACCAGCAGTGCTTGTTTTGGTCATCTCTGAACTCACTGGCTGTAAGGTTCCTGATCAGATCTTTTGGTTCTGCTCCTTTTCTCCATGTTTGCCCCTTAAAAGACAAATTCAGCTGCAGAATAACTATGGGGATAGGGAGGCAGAGAAAGAGAGAGGGAAGAGCCCCCGCCATCCTGCACTGCAGTAACCCTTCTGCCCCGTTCCTTTGTGATTTTGTGTGTTCGGAGGTCAGCACCTGCTGCCCTTCCTTCTCCCCCCCCCCTCCTTTCTATTTGTGGCTGACACAAATTTATTATAGACTTCCTGTTTTGCTTGATCAGACTCTGGCTGTGCTACCTTTCTCCTCCCCCCACACACATGTTGAGGGTACAGAGGGGCAAAAATAAAGGTGGGCAGTTCTCACGTGAAGAGAGTCTCACCAGGACCTGATGAACTCTCGTGTGCAAGGTCTGGCTTAGGAGTCAAATTTCCTGGAGTATATCTTGGTAATTGTGTGCACTTTACTCTTTGGGGCAAGGGGATAAATGACCTTCACCATGAGTCTGTGATGCACAATGTATAAGGGATGGCCACTGGGCTCTGGTCAATCCTTAGTGCATGGACTTGGAGGCTGCTTCTCCCTTCTGCTTGCAGAGACTGATCCCAACAGGGTCCAAAATTCTTGGTGCTAATGGGGATATCTCTTCCCTACTCCCCCACCAACCAGCTTTTGCCTCAGTAGCTTTTCCATCTGCGCCTCCACAGGGGACAGCATCTCCCCTCTGCTCCTGTCTTCCCTGTGTCCATGGTGCTCTCGGAGGCAATGGAGTAGATGCTGAGGCAAAACTCGGGAGCAGGCGGGAATGATTGTGGAAGATAGCAGATCTCCCTCTGCCTTCTCATTAACACTCCCCAGCGCAATCTCTTGAGCGGTGAAACAGTTGGCAGCAGACAAGGAAGGTCTCTGTTGAAGGCTGTTGGTCTTGGTGCTAAAATTTGGGGGAGTTAGGGTGGCAGGTAGGTGCCTCTGCTCACTTCCTTTCAAACTGTGAAGGGTGTTGGGGTCTCGCTCAGGGCCGAATGGGGAAGGGAGAACGGTGGGTACTTCGGATGGGGCTGTCTGGCAAGATACGTCCCCCCCCCCACCTGTTGCCTCCATGATAGGCAGTCTCCTTCACACTCCATTCTTCCTCTGACCCCATTGGTCGTTGTTTCGGTGACTGCCTGTCTGCGCAAAATTCTTCAAAGGGAGGTTTTCCTTACAACAGGATTTCCAAGCCTTCCCAACCCATTTGCCACAAAGCTAGGGGGAGAGATTCCCTCTGGGTTTCTTGTAGTCTAGTTTCACTGGTGCTAAATGGGAAGTATTTATTGGAAGAGTCTAGCTCAATGAACTGAGTACATCTTTTCCATGTAGAAGATCTTAAAATTGAAACCCGGGCATTTCCAAGTGGTGCTGGAAAAAACTCCTGCCTGAAACCTTGTAGAGATCCTTTCACTCAGGGTTGACAGTACTAGGTTAAGGGATCTATGCTATAATTCAGAAAATAAGGCAGCTTCCTACGAGTTTGTCCTTGGCTGATGTCCAGCCAAAGTAATCTGAGCCAAAGGGCTGGTTGAAGGAGAGGAGGCTCTAGGTATCTCCCCCAAATGGTGGGAAGGGGTATGGGTTGTTTTTTTTTTCTTTTCCCAATTGTATGCTTCAGAGAAGAATCTATTTGGGGGGGAAGGTATACCTTTAGTAGCTACACCCTTTTCTCCCCAAAGTCTTCCTTTCAGCATATTCAGTTTAGACATGGGGCTGGCCACATAATTCCTAAAGTCGGTTCCAGTAGCTGTCAGCTTCGCTGGATCCTCAGTGTATTCATGGCACTGCCAGTAGACTTTAGTTCGGAACAGTCCAACCTCTCTTCAAGCAGGGCACTGCACCCATCCAGTTCTGTCCCCAAACTGGAAGTGGCCTCTTGGGAAGCCTTTATTTGTGTTGTCTTTCAAATGTTCCTGATGTATTTGCCTTGGGCCTGTTTCACTGTCCACCACAGAATCCAGCTGTTTTCCCAATGTGGTGGGGAGCAAGAGGGGAGACTGAGTTTACAAACTGATGTGACTCAGATCTTTTTACAAAGAGCCCTTTTGTCAAGGTTGCACAGCCCTAGACTGAAAAGCAAAGCAACCGGGCCCCTCCTGCCCCCATTGCCTGAATTCCTTTGGCATTTGCAGAGGGACAAGGTGACAACCAAGGTGCTAAACAAGTTTTATTACAGATCTCTATTAACTTAAGTCTGCTGTCTGGACAATGACTGTTTTGTTTTTCTTGTAGTGAAGTTTAAAAGAGCTCTATTATTTTACTCTTATATATTATTATAAAAAAAGGCATTTTAACTTTGTACTTGAAACCTAAAGAAAAAGATTTCATGTGTTTTAGCTTAGACATTGAAGTAGCTGAGACGCTTTACTGTTTGTGGGAAACCATGTATTCATGCTGAAAATAAACTGTGTTGAGATCCTGGGAAGAGCTCAGCCCTGTTCCCTGCTCTCCAGCCGCCTCCCATCTGACATTCCATGCAGCTCAACCCAGATGTCCTTCCTTTCCTTTTTCAGTTCCATTCTCCCAGCCCTTCCGTCTTTTTCTTTCTGGATGATTTTGGGATGCCCCATCTTCTTCAGATGCTTTTTTTTTTTTAGGATTGCTTCTATATTTATTGACAAATAAATAATGTACATTTCAGAGTATGGTTCTGCTTTGCCAGGGTCGGGGAGGCCCATCTCCCCATCCCTATGGGCAGGCTGTTGTATCTCTGTGTAAGTATTGCTCGTGACATAGCTGTTTTATAAACTAATTAAAAGGTCAATGGTGCAGCAGATGTTAGAAAGTCTGTCCGTTCCGCCTCCATCCCATCCTTTGCATCTTTCTTTTGTGCTCAGAACACTCGAATAAGGAAGGCTCCTTGCTGATGTACTTGTGCTGGAGAACACTTGAATAAATGTTCTGCTTTGTGCAAAAAGAAAAGAGAAAGGAGGCTGTCTGCTGTCATGTGCTTTTTGTATCCCTGTGTCCATGAGTGTTTATAGGTGCTCTTGAGGCTGTGCTGGTGGGATTAAAGTAATACCCGAGGAATCCAAGTTGGATAAAATGGGTAGCACACCTTATCAACAGGAAAATAACATCACTGCAACGGGGAAATAAACATCACTACAGATTCATGTAGTTTTTTTTTTTAAAGTTACATATAATACAGAAAATGTTAGAGCATTTGCTTCCTATTTTGAAGTTACTGCATTTGTAGAAGCACTTCTCTACCGAATACACTTCTAGGAAACATACATGATGTTGACAGGAATCTGTTAGTAGGTGCTGTTAAAACTGACAAAAAATAGATAATAGAATATCATGGAGGAAATCTATATGGTTGCCAAGAGTTGGCATTGACTTGATGGTACATAAACAACAGTGGCAAATTATAATTTAAAATACAAATGTATTTAGAAATATTTTAATTATAAATGTGCACATTTTTCTAATAAGAACATAACAAATCTGGAAGTAATGTTGCTAAACTGAAACTAACATAATATTGTGGTTGTCTTTAATTTTTATAGATACTGTAGGGGAGAAACTAGAATTCATAGGAAAGCAAAAGAGTTATGGATTTAATTTCTGAGAAGGATACTTTCAACATCATTTTTTTCCCTTTGAAACCCTCTTCACAACAGCATTCTAAAACAGATTGCATTTGCACAATTCAGTTAACTTATTAAATTAATCCTGGTTTGGAGGTTGCCCAACACAATGAACCATAGACTAATCAAACTGACGGTTTGCACAATAAGCTAAACTCCAAAGAAACTAACCCAACAGAAGCAATAACTAAACATACACAAATGCAGCCGCTTGATCTTTGCCAGTATGATTCTGGCAAGTTCTGTGAACACAGATAGATAACCTGTTAAATACAAATAGTTCTTTGTTGTTGTTCAGTGAACCCTAGTTTGAATTGTAGTTATGAATAGAACACATGTATTAGGAAGATGAGGGTGCCATTGTATATAGTGTCTTTTTTCCCCATGAAAATGATACAGTAGGAGCATTTTCTGAGCTGTTCTATCTGAACAACTTAAAGCTATATTATAGTTTGACTTTCATTTCTTCTAGTATATTTAATGTACTGTTTTTTATCCAACAGAATGTATGTAGCTCAAGGTTGAACTATGGGGTCCCTGGTGCTCTCTGAGCTTGGTTGTTTGCTTGCAGATGTTTTATTGCCCAGGAAGGTAATATCAGTGGGGCATTGATGATATTGCCTAGTTGGGTAATAAAATGTCTGCAAGTAAAACAACCGGACTCAGAGCATTAAAGATTTCAATTTATTTTATGAATATATATGCTGATAATTAAGTTTATATTGTGATTTGCATAATATAATTTTTAGTATATAAAATGTCTTCAAAAACAGCTGTTTGCAGTTAGAATGGTGATGAAAAGGCTAACATGCTCAGCTCTGTGGTCTTAATTAGATGGTTAGAATTCTCTTACTAGTTTATAGCTGCTTCCTGAAATTGACAATACCCCTAATTAGTTTCGTGCAAGTAGTCCTGTGACTTATAACTGGTCCTCACACTTAACTGTCGCAGTGTCCTCACATTCACACGCTTGCAATCCAGGTACTTGGCAATTGGACAATTGCAGCATCCCACAATCATGTGGGCACCACTTGCGACCTTCCCAACCATCTTCTGATAAGGAAAGTCAATAGGAGAGCCAGCAGGAAAGTTCACAAGTTGCAATCACATGATGTCTCCTTAACAACCACGACGATTTGTTTAATTTTGCTTACCACAGCAAAACTACAATCTGAATTGTAGTAAATCAAGAGGCCCTATACAGGCTTTAACAGCTGCATTCTTTTGAGTGTATGCCCCATTGTGTACCTACTTACTCTCTTGTAATTCCTTTCTCTCCAGTGAATGTAAATACAAACCTCTCCTTGCTAATTATCCCAGCATCAGATCATTTCAACGGAGGGAGGGAGGGCTTAAGACAATGGCCCTCAACCTTTTGGGTACTAGAAACTGGTTCTGTGGGAAAAAAACCTTTGTGTGTGTGTTGTGGTTTCCTGTGCTACCTAGATCCCACACGCATTCAGGTGAAGTTTCATTTGCTTCCATGGCCTAGTTCCTAACAGGCCATGGATCAAAGACTGAGGGTCGGTAACCCATGCTATAAGATTTACCCGGCCTCCTTGTGAATCTTGCTCCAGAAATCTTTTCTGTTATTTCATTTCACTCAGCTGTTTAGGGCTATATCCTTCTGATACTACAAAGGAAAGCTGAAGTAAAATAAATGTAGTCATGATTTTTCACTTTGCATCTGCTGACCAATTCTTTACTAAATGACGACAACCTGTATTGTGCAAAGTGCTTCACATGACACAGCATGGACACTTTGTTAGGCTACAGTTGGACATAGCCCAATACTATGAAAGAACTGAAAGTACAAGAAAACATTAAAACAGCCCTGTAATTCTTTACATAATATTTCAATGAACAAGCCCAAGGGCAGACTGTCAAGTGGGATTTTATGCTCTGCATTTCATTCCTGTCTCAATAGCAAAATGACTTTTTTGGAACAATATTTGTCAATTATAGATTTCCTTCAGGATCTTTTCAGATTACAATACTTCAGCTGCTTGGATTTGGCTGAATGGTTACAGTAATACGTACATGAGGTTCTAAAAAGTGACATTTTGAAGCACTAAAAGGATTTACTTCATTAGGAGCAGTTTCCTCAAACTGCGCAATGATTTCTTGGTCAGTTAGAAAATAGGTAAAAAGCTCAAGAACACTCAATGTGGATTAAACAGATTTTAAAATCTATCAACTACATTATTACTCATAACCAAGAAAACAAGCAAATGGGCCATCAAACAAATCAACCCAGAATTCTCATTCAAGGCACAAACAACCAGGCTAAAATTATACATGGTACATATTATGAGAAGACTTAAATCTAGAGAAATCTATAATGCTGGGAAAGGTGGAAAGAAAAGAGGACGGACTCAATTATATGTTACAGATTCATTGGTGAAAGAACCAAGCTGGGGATAGGCTGTCCGGATAAGATTTAAACCACAAACTAACCACAGTGTTCACCTAATGTTATGCAAATTATGCACAGGGTTCACCTAACATTATGCAAATTATACACAAGGTTCACATAACATGCAAAAATTTAGCCAGCTAATTTGTTCAGTAAGTTACAAAATACAAGTCAGATCCTGAGTTTATTCTGCCAAATACGAATATTTACACCCCATTAACCAATGGGAATATTTGTTTCTCATGCAAAAGGATACTTTTCTTCTCTATAAAAAGTACAGGCAGCCATTTTGGTTCTTGAATAAATATTTCAAATAGTAAACTATTTGTATTTCTTCCCATGTTCTAAGGAAACCCACTGCAGTACATCTATCTGCCTTTCTCTAAGTATCTGAGGTAACTGCTGTCTGACACAAGCAGAATAACAGAGTTGAAAGGGACCTTGAAGGTCTAGTTCAACCCCCTGCTCAGCAGGAAACCCTACAACATTTCAGACAAATGGTTGTTCAAGCAAGCTCCATTCATCCTAGGTATCATGGTAGATTTCCTCATATGCTGAGGAGACAGACTGGGCCAGGGAATATTATTTGTTTGGCCCCTAGTCTTTAGTAAGATGTTTCTGAAAGCTGAGAAAAGGTTTACTTATTTTGAAATGTTTACATCATGCACACACGAATATACACACTAATGACATGAGTTTGGGAAGAAAACTGCTGTGCTACAATGCCCTTAGCCTCAAATGCAATGTTCACCTGTTGGATTCACATACTGAAACTATAGGATGATTTAATATGAAGGGTTCAGGCAACATGATAATGTAGTGGTTGGATTTCCACAACACCAAAGGAAATTGGTTCTGGCAGAGGAGATTTCCAGGAGTCAGCAGCAATACAGTTGATATGAGTGGAGGTTTCATGCTGTGAATAGGCATAGCATTCCATTCGCTGTCCAAGGTACTAGACTGTCTCCTGCTTGCTTGCTGATGAGGAAAAAGGACTAAGTATTCCAGCCACCTTTAGATTTACCAGGTGTAAAATGTCTTTGCGTGGAGGTGCATGTGCATATATGTGTGCACATGTATGAGTTAGAGGCAGAGGAACATATTAATTTCTACTACATTAATTTCTACTACTTTCTATTACATATTAATTTCTTTCTACTGAATATTATTGAATTGAGAAAAGTATATCAAGACATCACAGCTCTTTTATACAACAGAAAATAAACAAGAATATAAGCTATTAAATCACTATGTTTTCTACTGACAGAATTCTGGGCCATATCATATTAAAGACTCAAGGTAGATAATAAAAAGTATACACAGGCAGCTTTCATAATCCAGTTCTGATTAATATTTCTTGCATGCAGCAAAAAAGTGCACAGTATTTCTGGCTGAGAAAACAGAACAACAGAAATCTATGTATGTTGTGTGCATAGTCAATGGATTTAAGAAAGCAAGTGTCCCTATCAAGACATTTTCCGTCTCTCTCTTTTTTTAAGTTATATTTTTTGCAATATCCTAATTGCATTAAACTCTGGAAAACTGAGGTGCAGTGGAAGATTTTGCCCAGGAGAGGGTACTCTAGTGTAAGATTCCATTTTCAATGACTAGGCTCTTCCTTGGTTTTGCCATCATCCTGTACTTCCCTTGTTCCCCTTCGTGATCCCCAATCCAATTTTTAAAGCCCCAAACTCCCGTGATTTATCACAACTTTTACACCCTGAATTTTGAAAAGTTCTATCAAGATGATAACAATTATTGCAACAACTGCTATTTTAAAAAAACAACGTATTTGAACACAGGTTTATACCACTTTTGTGCCTTGTTGTCTTCTGGACCTTTCTCCTGACTGACCTTTCTGAAGCATATTTAAACATTTCTTACCTTCATTATAGAGCCATATCCTCT